CTGAAGTGAAGCCTGACAATGCGCTTAAAAAGTTGGGTGCCAATAAATTTAAACTAATCCAGTAATAGGCAAAGCACAAGTCAGAAGCTGGGTTCACAAGGTGCCCTTGACCTCAGGACCCATGGTTGTAAGTAGTATCGGAGTAGGTGTTCAATATGGGTTTGTTAAGCTTAACTGCATTACCAATTCTAATTTTTTTGGGCGGGGGGAGTTTTTTAAAAACTTCTGTTTCTTAAACATCAATGCTTTTTTTTTTTTTTTTTTTTTTTACTATGATGGTTTATTTGGGTATAGACTTTTGAAATATCCACATCACACTTAGAATTTCACAGTTGGTGGCATTAAGTTATATAATTACTTTGTATTCCAGATATATGGGTTGAAGGGAAAGACATTCCCTGCATAATAGTGACCCTATTTTTCAACTTTAAAGACAAGTGATTTTCACACGCTCTCTAGATATGAGACAGCCTATGAGATGCAGTTGGTATGTCTAAATGTTTGCATTTAGAGGGTATGCTCATGTTTCCCTGAACAACAGGACATACTGTCTGAAGCTGTGCCTGTCCCGGACAGTCTGGGATGTGTAGCCAGCATGCAGCAGAGGTTCCAAACTTAGTAAAACAAAACAAAAGATTAAAGCGTTAGAACTTGTCCTTCCAAATGCCACTTCCCACATTTTTCCTCCACCCCATCCAAGATGGTAGGAGAATATCCTGTTTTGCAGCGTGGCTTTGGATAATTAATTCTTCTTTTTGTTTTTGTTTTTTAAATATGTTTTATTGATTTTTTTTTTTTTTTACAGAGAGGAAGGGAGAGGGATAGAGAGTTAGAAACATCAATGAGAGAGAAACATCTATCAGCTGCCTCCTGCACACCCCCTACTGGGGATGTGCCCGCAACCAAGGTACATGCCCTTGACCAGAATTGAACCTGGGACCCTTCAGTCCGCAGGCCAATGCTCTACCCACTGAGCCAAACCAGTTAGGGCTTCTTTTTGTTTTTTGTTTGCTTGTTTTTTATTGTTTTTAATCCTCACCTGAGGATATTTTTCCATTGATTTTTAGAGAGAGTGGAAAGAAGGGGGAGAGATAGAAACATCGATGTGAAAGAGACACATCCATTGGTTGCCTCTTGCACATGCCCCGACAGGGGCCAGGGATCGAGACTGCAACCGAGGTACGTGTCTTTGACCGGAATCAAACCCAGGATCCTCAGTCCATGGGCCGACACTCTATCCATTGAGCCAAACCAGCTAGGGCTAAATCTTCTTTTTGGATTTAGATAGAACTAATCTTTACTCCAGATAAAGTATCTCATCCCTTTTATATATATATATATATATAATCCGTTTTGGTGAGGCTGGGCTGGGTGACCAGAAATTCTGAGCCTTCGGCATGAGCAGAACTGTTAGCCCCATCCCTGTGCAGTTTGTTTAATATTGAAAATCCTTCAAAGGAAATAACTTGAGCATTTGTATGTCTCCCCTCACTAAGGGACTGAAGTCCTTATGTTTTCAGAAAATTCCTCCTGGCATAGTTTTGACCTTGGAACAGACTTGTCGACAGTAATTTTTGAGTCCATGATATACCAGGAGCTGGGTAAGATCCCAGGGCCACCGAGAAAGCGAGCAGAATCCCTGCCCCCAGATCTAGATGGTGGAGTGGGGCAGGGTGGCCAGTCGGTCGGTCAGGCCATTGTACCTATGTGAGCAGTGTTGGGATAGCACACATGTGCAGAGCTGTGGGACCACATAGGCTGGGAGGCTGGGTAAAAGTGTGCCAGACACAGTCATCTTTAGGCTATTTGAAGAGGATTTAGTCAATCGATTGTAAATTAAATCTGTAACACCACTGTGGCACCTCAGAGCTAAGAGTGTACCAATTCCCGGACTCAAGCATGGGATTGCTGACGCTCCTGTGCTACTCAGACTCCCTCTCACACAGCACTGCCTATGTCATGGGTTGCTCCTACAAAAATGTTTTCATTGTTTATAAACATTCTTGAAAGAGCTCAAACACTCAGTTTTATCTGTCTAAATTCCAGCATGACCGAACTGAATGAAAACGAATGGGGCATTATTTTCTGTTTTCTGCATTATGTCCGGTTCAATGGCCGGATGAGTTATGAGGGAAAGGCTGCCAGAGCTGGTGTGTTCAGCCTTTCGCATTCTTCATTAGGGAGTCTCTCCTTAAGTCACCCTCCCCAGAAGGAAGTGAGCGGCCGAATGAAAGGCTGCTTAAGCTACTGGACACTGTTTTGACCACATTCTTTCTTAATATTTGAACTCTCTAAGGTTTCATATTCAAAGACTTAATTTTAAATGAAGAGAAGTTTATACATAAAACATGAGTGTTTGAGACATTTATAGTAAAGTTGGGAAGAATTAATTTGAATATTATTTGGCATAAATCTGCTGTTACAGAGGCAGCAAAAATATGGCCCAGCCAAAAAAAGAGGACTTTGTTTGACTCCCTCTGAAATTTCATCTGTTTATCTCAGCATTTTTTAAATCATCTGACTCTTTGCTAGTGTTTTATTGTATTTCCAAGATTTTTATTTACCCTCTGCAGTGAAGAACTTGGGGTTTGTTTTGGCATATGGAAACAAACAGAAAAGCATGATTTTTTTTTTCCTCCAGTAACATAGGTTTTCTTTCATTTAAAAGTGACACTGGAGGCCTGGCCTGTGTTGCTCAGTGGTTGGAATGTCGACCTATGAACCAGGAGGTCATGGTTCGATTCCTAGTCAGAGAACATGTCCAGGTTTCTGGCCGGATCCTGAGTAGAGGGCATGCAGGAGACAGCCGATCAATGATTCTTTCTCATCATTGATGTTTCTATCTCTTCCTTCCTCTCTGAAATCAATAAAAACTCTATTTTTTAAAAAAGAAAAGAAAATGAAAGTCCCCAGCCCCCTCTCACTGGTTTTAGGGTAGCCTGAAGATGGCTCATGGAGGTTGCTTCCAAAAGTGCTTGAGTTTCCAAAGCACAGAATTGGAAACCCAGTGCATGACTCGCTTAACTTTTCTGGTTATTAGGTTGTAAGGACTTTTTCAAGTGACAATTTTTGTTGTAAAAACAAAAATCATAGTAAGGGGAAAAGATAGAAACTAGCAGGAAGAATTCGAAGCCAGAATTGAGTGTTTCCACTCTGAATGTCATGGCTACCTGTGAATAAATAATTGGCATATGCCAAATTTTCTTAGTCCCAATTATTTTGTGTTTATTTATTCAGATAAAAAATTCATAAAAAGTGGTCTCTTTGTTTGCTTGCCAGTGAGGAGCGAAGGAATTGCTCATCCTTTGTCACAGCAATGCATTCCCACAGTGGGGTTGTAATGGAAGGGTCTTTTCCTGCACTGCCTACATTAATGCCTCCTCAGCACTATCTCTATTTAATCTCCTGCTTCCCAGCTTCCCATCTCCAAACCCTCAGCAGCACCTGATCTTATGTAAGAGGTAGACATTCCTTACTCAGAAACAGGCTCCTTAAAGCCAGGGTTACAGGGAGAAATTGATAATCAAATCTTTCCATAATAAGGCTAAAATGTGAATTACTTAAAAAAACAAAACAATAAATCTCTCCATTCATTGCTGCATAAGATAATTTTAGGTGGATGTGATGACCATTTTATTTTCAGAGTCATGCTTTTATTTTATTTTAATTGTAGTTTTTGTTAATCCTCACCCGAGGATGATTTTTAGAGAGAGTGGAAGGGGGAGAAAGAGACAGAGAGAGAAACATCGATGTGAGAGAGACACATCGATTGGTTACCTCCTGCATGCTCTCTGGCTCCCTGACCAGGGCCAGGGACCAAACCTGCAACCGAGGTATATACCCTTGATTAGAATAAAAACCGGACCCTTCCGTCCAATGGCTGATGCTCTATTCACTAAACCAAAACTGGCTAGTGCTTTTATTTTAATGTACATTAGAAACATACCCAGCAAAATGGTAGTGACACAGAGTTTTTTGTTACTTTAATTTATTTTGACGTTCAATATTATTTTGTATTCATTTCAGGTGTACAGCATAGTGGTTAGACAGTTATATACTTTACAAAGTGTTCCCCCAACATTTCAAGTACCTACCTGGCACCATATATAATTATTAGCTAGATTCCCTATGCTGTACTGTATATCCTCATGACTGTAACTATCATTTGTACTGCTTAATTTCTTCATCTTTTTCACCCAGATCCCCAGGCCCCCAGCCTCTGGCAACCTCAGTCTGTTCTCTGTATCTATTAGTCTGTTTCTATTTTGTTTGTTCATTTATTTTGCTCTTTAGATTCCACATGCATATACGTGAAATAATATGGTATTTGTTTTTCCTTTTTTAAAATATTTATTAAATTTATTGGGGTAACATTGGTCAACTTGAACATATAGGTTTCAGGTGTGGGTTGCTATGTCACAAGATCTGTATATTGCACCAGGTGCCCGCCATCCAAACTCAAATCTTCTCCTGTCACCATATATAAGGACCCCACCCACCCACCCCACGTCTGGCAATGTATTTGTTTTTTACTGACTTATTTCACTTAGCATAATACCCTCTAGGTCCATCCATGCTGTCGCAAATGGTAATATTTCATTCTTTTTCATGACCAAGTAATATATATATTACAGTTTCTTTATCCATTGGTCTATCCAGTTGGGTCACTTCCATAGCTTGGCTATTGTAAATAATGCTGCAGTGAACATTGGGGTGCACATATTCTTTCAAATTAGTGTTTTGGGTTCACTCTAATCCTTTTTAAAAAAATAAATTATTTACAGATGGGTAGTTTTTAATTAACTTTTAAAAGAACTTCTACTAATGAATAATTTCCTGCACCCCCGTGATTGACGGCCCCTCGCCAGTGTCGATGTGCTTGAGAAACAGGGGTCTCTCTCGCAACTGGTTTTGGTAACATTTACCACGTGTAGAGCCCCTTGCTGGGGAATTTGAACAGTTCTCCTCTGACCTAATGCTACTCCCTTTCCCACATGCAGACTGTAGGGCGGGAACTGCTGCTCCATTTAATTGACTATCTCGTAACCAACGATGGAAAAGACCTTGAAATCACCCGTTTAATCAATAGTACCCGGATACACATCATGCCTTCAATGAACCCAGATGGATTCGAAGCTGTCAAAAAGCCTGACTGTTTTTACACTAATGGAAGGTAAGGAGGGGCTAGTCGATCTTTATTTAACATACAACAAAACAACAAAAAGCTCCCCACTTCCACCCCCTTTAAGAGAGTCCCTGGGCCCTGTGCAAGGAGTTAGGGGACCATCTCAGAGCTGAAACCTCCAGGGCTGCCTGCCGGCTGCTTTCAGGATGAAAAGTGAAATCCAAATATGGCTGCTTTACTCCTGTGCCCTCCTTACTGCTGCGTTCGCCACCCCTCCTCCCTCACCTGCTTCCGCAGCTCCGGCAGCCTTCGTCTTCTGGACCTTGCGGTTCTTTCTCACCTCAGGCACCCTGCACTTCCCACTCTTCAAGCAGCACGTCCTCAAAGACTCCTGCCCTGGCCTAGCGGGCATTAGGTCCCTAATGATGCCCATATCACCTGCACTTTACTCTCAGAGCACCATCTTCAGTGTCCCATTTCCTCTGTAACGTCTAAACTATACGCTCCCTGAGGTCAGGAATCCTGTCCATTGTGTTCGTCAAGCCCCAGGGCCCAGCATAGTACCGAGGCCCTCAATAATGACCGCTGGATTTATTAAGCCAGTACGAGAACTAATCAAAAAGAAGAGTGAGTCTTACAGTATTTTTTTTAAGTGAACAGATCCTCAAGATTTTTCCTTCATCATAAAACAAAATATGAAGCTTAGAACCAGATCACTTGGCCCTTTCTCTTTTCTCCTCCCAGTTCAAAATGCTTGCATCTCTTAACGGCCAGCATTCTTTCAGATCCGCAGTTGGGTTCATCGCCTTTAAGCCTCAGCACAATCTTTGTAGTTTTAGTCTGCCCACCATAGCCACTCTGCTGCCTGTCCAACACCGCTGCCCCTGCGCACCCGGAGAACCCTGGCCTTCTCGCCTGTGTCGCTTTGTGGGGTTGGTGCTGGCCACTTACAGAAAGTCCGCCGGGTTTTAGGAACATTCACCCTGTTTACGAGAGCGCTGTCAGGATGGAAAGTAGTATTTCTGACTTAAACAGTTCATTTGGTTTCAAGCTGCCTCGGGCAGTTTGGAATTTCCCAATTGTCTAATACACATTTATATTCGTGCAACTAAAAGTTTGGTTGCTTCTACCCAAAATAAATAAAATCTCACCATGTGACCCCTTCAAGGTTCTCTAGCATATTTAAACATGGCCAGAACCTTTCCAAGTAGCACCTTCCAGTGGTTTCTGCTCTCAGTACTTTGTAACAAACCACCCCAAAATGTTGGGACTTAAAGCAACCTCTTTTTTATTTACTCTCAGTTCTGTGAGTTAGGGATTTGGGCAACGCAGCAGAGATTAGGGTTGGCTAAGCTCCGTGCATGGTGTCTGGGCCTTCGCTGGGGTCTGCCTGAGACAGCTAACGTGGGACCACATGTCTGGAGTCTCACTTCCGATTGTCCCCTGGGTTCCTCATTTCTCTGTGTGGGCTCTCCACGTGGCTAATGTTGGGGTCTCGGGGTTCCAAAAGGGAGTGGAAAGAGCAACAGCCCCCAAATGGAAATACTCATCACACCTCTGCTTACATCCCAGTAGCTACTGTCCGCTGGTGAGAGCGAGTGGCAGGAGAGGGGGCTGCATGTTGTGTGAACGCCAGGTGTGGCTCATATTTGGAAAAACCACCCTGCACTCATATTTGGAAAAACCCCTGGAACCCAAACAAAATGTTTACACATTGCACGAATCCACTCCCGCACATGCCAACAGTAAAGCCTAAAAAATTCTTTCTTTTAAAGGGAAAATAATAACTTCTATGACCTGAATAGAAATTTCCCCGATGCTTTTGAATTTAACAATGAATCAAGGCAGCCTGAAACTGTGGCAATCATGGAGTGGCTGAAAACAGAAACGTTTGTCCTCTCGGCAAACCTCCACGGTGGTGCCCTGGTGGCCAGCTACCCTTTCGATAACGGTGTTTCAGGTAAGCAAACTCGGGCTGAAACTCTGCCTCTGAATGGGGATTAGCTCTGTCCCTAGTAACTTCGCTGGCAGGGGTAGAAAGAGCCGTATTTTCTCAACCCTGAGCCATCCTCCCTACAACTTATAAACAGTAGCTGGACAGTATGGCTGAATTGACAAGCAACAACAGGATTGCTTGACATTCACCAGTGAAACAGTAAAACTGGGATTTCAATGACCTCACAAGCGGCAGTATAGCTAAGGGAAAATAAAACTAGAACAGCTTACCTTTCTTTGCTAATCATCCTATATAATAAAAGCCTAATATGCTAAGTGTCCTACCATTCATTCGACCGTTCAACTGGTCGCTATGATGTGCACTGACCACCAGGGGGCAGACGCTCCGACCAGTAGGTTAGCTTGCTGATGGGGTCTGACCAATCAGGACTGGGCAAGGTGGGCCGGACACGCCCTAGAGCCCTCCCACAGTTTCTCCCCGGTCCTGATTGTGCACTGGTGGGGTCCCTTGGCCTGGCCTGCACCCTCTTGCAATCCAGGATCCCTCGGGGGATGTCAAAGAGCCGGTTTCGGCCCGGTCCCCACAGGCCAGGCTGAGGGACCCCACTGGTGCACGAATCCATGCACCGGGCCTCTAGTATGAGCAGTAATTGCTGACTCCTCTTAAAACTCTGCAGAATGAGGTATACCCAGGCCCTAAAATATGACAGCGGTTTCATTTAACCCCTACCCAGGGGGTAACTTGACCGACCTCCAGAAATCAGCAAGAGTGACTATTTAGCTGAGGGAGGAGGAGTTTGGATTTATAGACGGCTTATTCTGTGTGCCGTCACCTCGTGTGTGCTCATTACACAGTAGGAAGGAGGGGGGGGCATTCACGGGCGAGGCTAGCGGATTTCTCGCTAAGCAATGAGAGCCTCTGAGCGTGAAGTGCTGTTGTTCCTGCTCATGGCACCCTGTGTGCTGCCTCCGGCCCTAATGTCAGCACGGGGGTCTTGGTTTGTCTTTCACATACAGCAACGGGGACATTACACTCCCGGAGCTTGACCCCCGATGATGATGTTTTCCAATATCTTGCAAATGCCTACGCCTCAAAAAATGTCAACATGAAGAAAGGAGATCAGTGTAAAAACAAAATGAACTTCCCGAATGGGATTACAAATGGGTACTCTTGGTATCCTCTCAAAGGTGAGTTTCTCTCCATTTCTACCAGCTCCTAGTGCCTGCACCAGGGCTACCAGCTGGTTGTCATGTGTGTTAGGCACCGTGCGGTCCCTTCCCTCATGAGAGCAGTGGGGGTGATGGCCGTTAGAGAGATGCTCAGACACGTTCCTCACTGCCAAGGCCGCCTTCACTCACTCAGATGCTTGTTCAGCGTTTTCTACGATGAGTCAGGGATGGTGCCAAGAAAGGTGAACAGGTCACAACTCTTACCCCCAGTTTGATAGGGAAGGGTGACATGCAAATAAGTCATTGCAATGGCAGTATAATTAAAATGAAAATAGAATTGAGAAAAGGTACAGTGCCCTGGGGTGTAGAGCCAAACACAGGAGGAAGTGGGAAAGACCTTGGAGAAACCTAATGCTTACGTCTCATCTGATGGGACAGCTGCGGCTTAGAGCCAGGGAACTGTTGTCAGGCCACAGCGAGTCCCAGTGCTGCCACATCTTCCAGGTGATACAACAAGCTGGATTCGGACATGAGGGCTCATGGTTTTAAAGCCGCTTTGCAAGCTAAACAAAATACTCTTCAGACTGGATGCAGTGGGAGGGGGGGGCCTCTAGTTTTCCAACCTCGGAACAGGCTGGCCAGTGAGGGAGGGAAGGGGAGGAGACTGCCAGGTAGGGAACATGGGAGGGGGGATGCTCTATCAGAAGGAATAATATAAGCAGAAGCTCTAATATAAGGGATGTCAGAGAACTCATCTTAGTCTGGGAACTGAGAGATAATAGGGACCTAGGATGGAAGGACAAGAGGGAAAACAAGGTGCTGGAGCGGGTTTCCGTGGCCTCAGTGGAAAGTGCCCCCTTCGAGGCTGGCTGGCCTGACCCTCCCAGTTGTGAGCTTCTGCACACAGGCCACTTCCCCGGTGGTTCCTCTGGGTGCAGAGGCTATCAGAAGTCTTGCATACGCTGGCACTGCGGTGTCTGGGTGGCTTGCTCCAGCTTTCCAGGCAAGATAAATAAGCATAGACCATGAATGCTAGGCAGCAAGACCAGCTAGATACCACGACATCCCAGACTTCTCTGCACTGTCCTACAGCCTCCCCACCTCCAGCTCGGGGCTCCAGCTTCATCCCTGCTCATCACAGGGAGGAAAGGCCCCCTCCTGCCCAGTGGATACTCAGTGTGCACATTTCCTGGCAGATCCAGATGTGTGGGAAATTAGCGAGGAACCCAATCTTGCTGCCAGGAATTTTCCAAGTGTGCCTGTGTGTGAGCTGTGTATCCTTCGGAGAGGAAAAGGCAGGCAGAGCCAGCTACTCTAAGGAGCTTGAAACAAAGCATTCTGGCTCGGTCTGGATGCTTGGCAGCCAGGCCTGACGGGCCTTGTGCAGCGGTGCACACACTGTCCACACTTGGCATTCTCAGTCCCCCGTGCTTTGCACACCTGTTGTACCCTTAAAGTTCTGTCTACCTGAGACAGCCATCCGCCAAGCGCTTTCATTTTGATTCTCTCTCCATTTTTTCCCCTCTTCTATTTCACGGTAAAAATGAGGTCAGAGAAATACAAAAATCTATTTTAAAAAATAGAAAGGACAGAGACCTTCTTCCTGGCTGGAATCTGAACCTAAATAGATACTATTTAATATTCAAATAATATTTTGATTTATTTTGACCATTTTTTTTAGCATGAACTTTTTTTCTACTTTAGTACTTCCCAAATACCCTGACGGAGTTGAGAATATATATTTTATTGGGCAGATATCAAGTCTAACAAATTAAAATCTGGCAGAAACTACTTCCTTCAGAGTTGCTAAATTTTATCTCATCAAATCAAAAATGCCATTGATTGTAAAATACAATATACTACCGAGAAAGAAAGAAATGCTTCCAGCCAAACTAATGACACAATGATATTTTTTTAGCCATCAAATTTTAGACACATCCCAATTCAGAGATCTTAAAATATGTAAAGTTTTGCATCTTAGAAAAGATGAAATATGATTATAACCCGTTGAAAACAGGCTCTCCAGAGAGAACTGGAAAGTGTGGGTACCAGCAACCCCAGAGCAGGAGTGCCTGGGCCTCTTGCCTCTTGAGAGTCAGCACAGCACCTTTTCCTTCCCAGAAACAGCTTGATGTCATGGCTGAGAGCACGGCGGCTCGAGCAGGAGCCTGTGCCCTGGTCTGTCACCCTCTGGCTAGAATCCCTGGGCATGTTACTCACCATCTCTGACCAAGTTTCCTCATTTGTAAAATATGGGTAACAATTGCTCTGAGGCTTAGAATAGTTGATACAAAGCTCTTTAGGCAGTACCTAGCAATAGTGAACACTCATTAAATGTTGGCCATGATTATTCCTCCAAATTAGTGTACTACTTAGCTTTAAAAATTTTTTTTTAAATATTTTTATTGATTTCAGAGAGGAAGAGAGAGGGGGAGAGAGATAGTAACATCAATGATGAGAATCATTGATCAGCTGCCTCCCCCCCCTCCCCCCATTGGCCTGAAACCTGGGCAGTGTGCCCTTGACCGGACTTGAACCAGGGACCCTTCAGTCCACAGGCTGATGCTCTATCCACTGAGCAAAACCAGCTAGAGCTGTAGGAATATTTTTTTAAAATATATTTTATTGATTTTTTACAGAGAGGAAAGGAGAGGGATAGAGAGTTAGAAACATCGTGAGAGAGAAATATCGATCAGCTGCCTCCTGCACACCCCCTACTGGGGATGTGCCGCAACCAAGATGCATGCCCTTGACCAGAATCGAACCTGGGACCTTTCAGTCCACAGGCCGACACTCTATCCACTGAGCCAAACCGGCTGCGTGCGGCTGTAGGAATATTTTTAAAGAAGTGTCACTGTAGTGTACATCTGTTTAAAATGTAATTTAGGAAAGAAAGATAATTTGAAGCATCCTTTTTGTAATGTATGATTACAAACTAGGACCCTTCCTCTGCCCCTCACTTAATTTTAGGCACAGTTGAACTTCAATCAGCTGTGATCTGGTTACCCATATGGGAAGATTTAGGGTTGCCCGGTCATGCCTTGGTAATGAGCTGCCAAGCCCTGATTTTATATGCTAATATGCCAACTTCACCTTTTCCTGTTTACGTGTACTTTCTGTGCAACTGTCTGATTCACTCGTCCTCAAGGGCTGGGACTCTTGGCTCCACTCCAATTTTAAACCTTAAAAATATTGACTATGCTTGTGCTTAGGTGGAATGCAGGATTATAACTACATCTGGGCCCAGTGCTTTGAAATTACGTTGGAGCTGTCATGCTGTAAATATCCGCGCGAGGAGAAGCTTCCGTTCTTCTGGGATTCCAACAAAGCCTCGCTAATTGAATACATAAAACAGGTGCACCTAGGTTTGTACAATTTCCTGATTAGTTCCTGTTACAAAATATTACATCTAGCAGAGCCTCTGGGCTGAGAAAACGAAGCCCCTATTTGTGTTTTCTCAGTCCAGCCCCACTTTCGTACACAACTTAACGGTTTAAAATTCTCTGTGTGAGCGTCTGCAGCGTGTGAGAAATGCAGTGCCCGTAGGTTCATATAAGAAAAAGCATGGTGTATGCTGCTTTAATGTGGGGATGTGATATCGAGTCCTTCTCATTGTACATGTTGAGTGACCTGGAGAGCTGGGAAAGATCGGGAAAACGGGTTGTTACATCATCACCCAGTTAGAAAAGAGCCAAGTTTGCTTGTCACCCGCCAGGCCATGTCACAGACTCAGAGAACATCGGACATGCCGATGCACCCTTAGCTCTCACCCCTCCCACCCTTCACGCTGGCACCCTTCACGCTGGCACCGGGCATCCTCCAGCCCGTTTTTTGACAGCTCTCTGGCCTTGATCACAGATGGACAGACCGAATGTGGGGAGAGTGGTCATCCTCAAACGTCAGCAGTCGACTCACCGGGGGGTCTGTTAAAACACAGATTTCCGGGTCCCTCCCAGGGTGTGTGTGATTCCGTGGGTCCTGCATGGTTAGCATCTCCTCGGGGGATGCCGAGACTGCGGATCCAGAGAAACACCCGCTGGAGGTGGTGATGGAGTCACACACAGTTCACTGGAGCTCATTTGACAGCCCGTGTCTCTCTGGGCGGGGTAGGTGTGGAAGGCTCTTCATTGCCAGAGTTAAAGTTATTTTTCTCCATTCAGAACGGCTTAGGGGAAGAAATATCGAGAAATGACACAAAAGTTATGCTACCACATCAAGCCACAGTTGGGGGGGGGGGGTATGTTTGTGTTGAAGAGGCTTGTATTGTGTGCCTGCTGCATAATTGCATCATTCCTGTGACTTTGTAGATGCTTCCCACCTGCTACCAAGGAGGGAAAAGTAAGAAGCACAGAGGTACAGGACTGAGTACAAGGAGAATTAAGAGCTCTCCTTGACCACTAAGCCAAAGAATGGGTGCCCCCCCCTTTTCATACCTATTTTCCCATTCCCGTGCTCCCTGCCCAACACGAGTACACAGAGGTTACTGGTGACCTCCCAGGACTGTGTCTAACTGGCTGAGACTATGGGGTAGGTCGATTCCCTGTGGCAGATGCTACAAAATTTCATCTTTCTTTTTCACTAGCATATACCATTTATTTTCTTATTGTTAATCCTCCCCCGAGGATATTTCTTCCATTTGAATTTTAGAGACTGGGAGATGGGGGGGAGAGGAGAGAGAGAAAGAGAGAGAGAGAGAGAGACAGACAGACAGACAGACAGACAGACATTGATGTGAGCAAGACACATAGATTGGTTGCCTCCCATACATGCCCCCAACCGGGACCAGGGACCAAACCTGAGACTCTTCAATGCACAGGCCCACACTCTACCACTGAGCCACACTGGCCAGGGCATAACATTTATTAAGCTTATTATTGTGCCTTTCTCCTTTCTAATTGTCATCAAAGTTTGCTTGGGATGCTCTCTTGCTTAATATTCTAGTATTTATCCACTAGATTTTCCTCATGAGACACATACCGGCTTAACCTTTCTACTGTATTTCTGACTGTATCGGCCCTTTAGTGTGTACTCTGCCTATCTTTTCTAAAATGTCTCCTCACCAGCATCAACGGCAGAGGGTCACTGAACATGCACTGCGCTCCACGGAACTGCACCACTATTTTAGAAATTCGTTGTGGTTACTTACCAAGCACGGAGTTAAGGCAGCCCCTAGGAGCTCATTGTGCTGACATAGCATTGCCAGTGAGGGGCTTTGTAAACTGTTCGATAGCATGCAAACTATAGCATAGCTGTTGCCATTATTAATTTGGAAGGCGTGCAAGCCCCTTTACACGAGGTCTTATAAAGAATCTGTATCTGCCTGGCTGGCTCTATAATGAGAGATGCACAACTCACTTAAAAATGTATTCATCAGCACACCAACCCTGCCCCCTTGTGGTTTAACACAGAGGTGTCGTTTTTTTTGTTTGTTTGTTTGTTTTTCTAGCTTAACATGAAATCCTATTTCAAAACACTGATACAGTGTCGTTATTGTTACTTGATAGATAGAAAGAAAGGTTCTCTTCATACTGGTGCCCAATAGGCAGCCAAAGAATATCTTTGTTTGTGGGTGATGGGAGCAAACACCTCCTTCCTGGTATTGTTCTGGTTTAAGGAAATTGTTGGTATTTGTCAGTCGCACTTGCTGGTACAATTTCACCACTTGCTAAGGAAGATGCCTGAGATTTTGATCTGCCTGATGCCTCGGAGGGGCCTGGCCAAGAGGACAGGAAGGCCCACGCTGTTTTGTCGTCTGCCCGAGTAAAACCTTGAGCAAGGCACTTGTCCAAATGCAGTTCCAGTCGTTCTGGGCTCTCTCTTCTACCCCCTTGAGCTATCTATCTGTTAGGCCATATTGTTTTGATAATTATACCTTTCTTGGTACAGTTTGAAATCAGGAAGCATGATTCCTCCCCCTTTTTTTCTCAAGGCTTCTTTGTCTATTCAGGGTCTCCTGTGATCCCATATACATTTCAGGATTAGTTCTAGTTGAGAACGCCATTCGTATTTTAATAGGGATTGCAGACCTCAAAGCCAACATAGCAAAAGAGGGTGAGTCTGATTCTAGGGGCCTGGCATGCTTGTCCCCCTCTCTGGGGAGAAGCAAAGATGAGCGGGACACAATGTTACCTGTTGCTGTCCTCTCTCCCCAAAGCAGACCTGAACCCTGAGGTTTGGGGGATGGCCCGCAGCACCCAGAAACCTAAGCAACCTGTCCTAAGAGAACCTGGTACATGCTGAGTTCCGGGAGCCTGTGGGTCACAGGTAGCTGTCAATCTGTCACCCGATGCAGAGTAGGTGGCAACTGGTCATCCGGGGGAACAGGGAGTGGACACGCCGTCTCCGAGTCCCACCCATTGTGCCCGGCAGATGCAGTTCCAGTTCTTGCCAGACACAGGCTTCTCATTCACGAAGCTGATACACTTCCAAGGGAAGGGGAGCTTTACGTTTCTCTACCTCGTTTTCAGGAGGGCCCACAAAATTTAAGTCTCAAATTTTATTCTCCTTTGTTTATTATCTGAGCTTTTTCCAGAATTTTACTTTTTTGTTCCCCTGATGTAATAGTACTGGCTCTCTGCATCTCTTTGGAGCTACTGGTCTTTTTCCAATATTTCAGTTTCAACATATAAAAATAAATTGTGTCTTCTGGTAAAACAATTACTACCCTCTAAAGGAAAGGTTTGATGGTGCCTGGACAGAATATTGTAAAGACATGTAAGGTATGAAGACAGCTTTTATTTGGCTGATGTATGGGTTTCCCTCCAATAGAAACTCCATATTTAAGCATGGTCTGTGTTTGTTCAGCAACAGTGACATTCAAATACCCCAGCCTTCCCTAGCTTGAAGAACTGTCTCTAGGTTTGGAATGTGAAATATAGGATTTAAAATGAGAAGAGTTTAAAATGTAAATGGCCTTTTATTAACTAACCATAGTTCTGAAAAAAATTTTTAAATATATTTTATTGATTTTTTACAGAGAGGAAAGGAGAGGGATAGAGAGTTAGAAACATCGATGAGAGAGAAACATCCATCAGCTGCCTCCTGCACACTCCCCACTGGGTATGTGCCCGCCACCAAGGTACATGCCCTTGACCAGAATCGAACCTGGGACCCTTGAGTCCGCAAGCCAACGCTCTATCCACTGAGCCAAACCGGTTAGGGCCATAGTTCTGAAATTTTGAGGTAAGGGGTATGGTGTTGGTTCGGTGTGGGCTCCGGAGACCAGCATGGACTCACAGCTAGGCTATGCCACGTAGTTGGTTATGTGAGTTTGAGAAGGTTGTTGAATAATCCAATACCTTAGTTTCCTCACCGTGTAAAGCTGTGGCAATAACATTGCCTATCTCATACAGTTGTGTGAGGATTCAATGAGAAAATGCACATTAAGCACTAGGCATAGAACCTGAAATATACTAACTGATCAATAAATATTCAGTTATTAGTAATGATAGGACTCCATCAATCGATTCCATGCCCCAAGTAACCCTGTGATTATAATTTTGTTACCCACGTAGTTTGCCTTACGGCAAGACACTATTGAATCCCTTGCATAGATAATTACCCTGTTGTAAAGTAATACATTAGTGTTGTTGAGTTTTGTTTAGGATTTTATGGAATCTACCTGTGGCAAAGTCACAGTGCAGTTTGGTGACTGAGAAAACACCTTGAAAATGACAGGAATGGATTTAGGATTTTATGCTTTCTAATTTTGATATAACATACTTAACCTGTAAATCAGATTGGTAGCTTGATTGTATTTTAATTACATTAAACATAAGTGTACCAGATTCTGGATCAAGGTGGTGATGTAGGAGGATCCTAAACTCGCCTCCGCCCACAGACACCAAATCTGCAGCTACAAATGAAACAGATCCCTCTGAAAGAAACTCAAAAACTACCTGACAGACTCCTACATATTGGATGAATGAGAAGAAGAAAAACACACATTGAAACTATTGGAGAGGCTGAGACACAATCTTGCCATAAACCTTATTCCAAGCACAGCACCCACAATCAGGAAGGAACTCACAACTTTGTTCCCTGAGGTGTGAAAGGTTTGAACCCCACATCTGGCACCCCATCTTTTAAGAACTGCACTAGAGAGATGAGCCCCCAAAACATCTAACTTTGAAAGGTGAGGGTCTTGCATCCATGAGACCCACAAGGATATAGAAAACTAAGAAACAGTTCTTAGAGGGCTCATAAGACTCACCTGGCTATCCACCCGCAGAGACAGCCAACTGAGAAATGCCCAGTCTCTCTTTGAAAGAAGCCTGTTTGCTTGTCTTAAAGCTTCAACCCAAGGGGCAGGCCTCTAATTTAACCCACATCTAGGTACCTACTGAAATATTCTCCATAGATGGAGACTGGCAGGTATCATCATTTCACCTCCCTCCTAGTTACCAGTATCTCCACACCCTCTCCTTCCCCCACAAAAAAATGTGACTAAAATATTGGCAGAGGATCTGAATAGAGATTTTTCCAAAGAAGAATAATAGCCAACAGGTACATGAAAAGGTGCACAACATCAATAATCATCAGAGAAAAGCAAATCAGAATCACGGTGAAGTGTACTGCTTCCCACCTGTTAGAATGGCTATTACCAAAAAGACCCAAAATGACAAGTGTTGGCGAGGATGTGGAGAAAAAGGAACCCTTTTACACCGTTTGTGGGAATGTAAACTGGTACAGTCTCTGTGTAAAAACAGCATGGGGGTTCCTCAAAAAGTTAGCATAGAATTACTGTATGATCTGGCGATTCTACTTCAGGGGGAAACACTAACTCGAAGAGATCTCTGCACCCCCATGTTCACTGCGGCTTTACTTACAATAGCCAAGACATAGAAGCAACCTAAGTGTCCATCAACGGATGAATAAAGAAAATGTGGTATATATTTACTATGGAATATTATCCAGCCATAGAAAAAGGGTGAAATCTTGCAACATGGATTGACCTTGAAGGTGTGATGCTAAGTGAAATAAGTCAGACAGAGAGATACCGAGAACACCTTGGTAGCTGCCAGAGGCAGAGGGTGGGAGAAATGTGTGGTCAAAAGGTATAGACTTCCAGTTCAAAAATAAATTAAGTCCTGGAGATGTAATGTGCAGTGTGGTGAATATAGTTAAGAATACTGTATTGTAATTTGAAATTTGCTAAGAGAGTAAATCTTAAAAGTTCTCATCATAAGGAAAAAATTGTAACTGTTAACTAGACATATTGTGGTGATCATTTCATAATATATACATATGTCAAATCGTTATGTTGCATACCTGAAACTAATATGTTATATGTCTATTATATCTCTCTTTTTTTAAGTTTTTCTTCTCAAACATTTTATTAACTCAAAACAGCTCATAAATATTGGACATATTTTACTTAATTACAAGAAATATTTTTCATATGCCATAATACATAGTATTAACATTTAATTCTCTTTTTGCCTTACAGGTATAAAGGGTCAAGTTTTTGATCAAAAGGGAAATCCATTACCCAATGTAATTGTAGAAGTCCAAGACAGAAAACATATCTGCCCCTATAAAACCAACAAATTTGGAGAGTATTACCTCCTTCTCTTGCCTGGGTCATATACGTTAAATGTAAGTACACAGTTCTAGTTTTTGGTATTAAAATACTATAAAATTCACAATACTTACTTACTCACCTAGAAGGAATATAAAATATGTCTGGCAAGTCCAAAAGTAGTACATGAGGACAAAGGAAAAAACAACATCAGACTTGCCTGTGGCCGGGACTAAGAGAAGTGAGCATGATAGGAACAAACCAAAAAAAAAACCAACTTGTTTTTTTCCCAACTGGCAGTTAATATTTTTAATAACGGCTAAATCCTATTTCTTGTGATACTTTTTATGATAAAAAAAGAAAGAAAAACCTCATACATTGTGTACTCTAAACAATGTAGCTAGAGTACTTGCAAGCTTTATGAAATACCATTTTAATGCCCATTTCATGAGACATCATTTCTGCTATTAAAAAATAGATTTGGCCCGGCCAGTGTTGCTCAATGGTTGAGCGTTGACCCATGAACCAGGAGGTCGGTTGATTCCCCAACAGGGCACATGACTGGGTTGTGGGCTCCATCCCCAGCAGGCGGTATGTAGGAAGCAGCCAGTCAATAATTCTCTCTCATCATTGATCTCTCTCTCTCTCTCTCTCTCTCTCTCTCTCTCTCTCTCTCTGAAAATATACTTTAAAAAATATATTTGGACACAATTTCCTTAGGATTCATTATAAGTAAAATTTGATGCACAAAATTTAGCACTATATTAAGCGATAGACATATTTTGCAGACCTTTCAAAAGCAAATGATAAGTTTTCCAACCAATGAATTTAGCACTATATTAAGTGATAGACATATTTTGCAGACCTTTCAAAAGCAAATGATAAGTTTTCCAACCAATGCAAGTAAAAGCTCAGGTTTTAATTTTAATTTAAGATGCATGTTTCTGAGTCATTTCTTCCTAGTAGGAAGCATGCACTGGCTTGAGCCCAGGTAAGCTTATGTAAATGAACTAAATGAATAAGTGTCTGATTTAGTTGTCCAGATTGTGTCTCTTATTCTTTGATAATATGACTTTCCTCTAAGAAATTCAAAATTCTCCACTTTGCTTAGTGGGTCTAATGTCAAGTGTAGCAGTTGTTCTAAGCAGAGCTACTCCTAGGAGAAGGTAGTCTGGTCTGTAGGAAAAACTGGCTTTGCATTTCATTATTTCATCTGCAGGACATAATAAAGGCATGGCTTTCAGTTTATAAAACTATAGAATTCAGAGCCTCCCTGCTCCACAGGTTATTCCTACAGTTTCCAGCAGCGGAGCTCATCAATTGCTAATCCTTTTAAGAATTCTCCTTCTACTGAGTGGCTAGAGCTGGAAACCTCAACTCACTACATGAGTTGTGAGTTGTATAAAAAAGGCTCTTTATTTTCCTGTCATGTGCTGTGACATTTCCATTCTATGGGGCGAGTGGGTTTCCTTGTAGTGAATCTAAATTACTTTTATATAATCCCATAAGTAAGCCACACCTTTATAGAATAGTTATGAATAGTTCATTTCCAACTAGACCAACACAGTACATGCTGGCTTTACCTACTAGTTATAGGACAAGATTGCAAGGCTAGACTTTGGAAATGGAAATGAATGGCTAAAATACATACTAATTAATGGTTATGTAAATGTTCCATTCTTCTCTCTCTTCACCATATATATTAAAAGCATCTCTCAGTGGACATGATCTATAATTAGTTTAGCATTTGTTCTTTTTTTTCCTGATCATTTCCCCCAACAACAACAAAAAGTCTAGCTAAAGATTCAGACACATATGAACAAAACCAGGTAAAATTAAAGCTTTATAAGGAAACAGTAAATTTGTACACTTAGATCAGCTGCAAGGAAATGGAATTAATTAAGAAAATAATCCCACTTACAAAGGATCTTGATACCCAATCAGGATATTAAGTACAGACTTGGGACAAGAGAAACAGCTCTTTACCTTTAATCTCCGTGAAAATGATGGGGCAGGATCAGTCCACCACTTCCTCCTGCTGACTTACACCTCGTGATGAAGGACCTGTCTGTATTCCACTTTGTAATTCTTGGCAACAGCATTAACAACTATGGTCCATATCAACAGACATTGGGTAACTCTTTCAATGAGCAGAACTGAAGTGGTTACTAGCCTGGGGGGCCTGGCAGGTTGTTCTATGTGTTTCATAAAGGCAGCATTTGAGTGGTGGATATTAGTGTTTGCACCACAAAACATCTGAAATCATTCAAATAATTGTTTCTTGTTTCTTCTCAGGTTACAGTCCCTGGACAAGAGCCATACCTCAAAAAGGTGATTATCCCAAAAAAATCCCAGGACTTCAGTGCTCTTAAAAAGGATATTGTATTTCCACTCAGAGGGCAATTGGATTCTATCCTAGTATCAAATCCTTCATGTCCTATGATTCCTCTATACAGTATTTTGCCAAGCCACTCAGCCGCAACAAAGCCTAGTCTGTTCTTACTCTTAGTGACTCTTTTTCACATATTGTTCAAATAAAGCAAAATGTGAAACTCAACCCCATCACCACCTGGAATCAGGGATTACTCATGCCAGGTTACTGCAAATCTAACTCCCTCTGTGAGACAACTGGCCAAACGCCACTGTCCTTCCCTAAGAAGACAAATGGTTACATCCTGTAACGAGAAATGTGTGGTGATAACGAAAGGAATGATTTCGTTTTGATGATGAATAGAAGACACCCACCTATCAAGTACTGCCCACTTACACTTCATTTTAAAGTCATCTTAGAAATTTGTAAGAAGTTAAACTTGAGGAGCAAAAATGAAGCTCCTGCAAGAAGACGACGAAAAAAAAGAAGCTAATTCTGGATACAAGAAGATAATTCTGAATATAAGCAATGAACATGAACATTTATTGATCACCTATCATATACAAGACCTTGCTATGAGTGCTATATATGAAGAGATAGTGCCATATATCATTAGTTCTCAGGACAGGGAAAAATGATAACAAGACTGGGAATATTTAGCTTTGCAAATGTTCTAAGGAAATATGAGAGAAAATAGGCAGCCATGTCTCAGTGGCCCCAGAAAATATGGGCCTAATAGCATAACAAGGTGTTGCCTACAGAGTCCCAAAAATATGGGTCATTTAAGTGTCCCTGCCATTCTGCACCTGGATGCCACAGTCCTATCATGCTGATGACCGCCAAATGTGTAATTCTAGCCTCTTGCCTGAGCTTCAGACTCACATCCAACTGCCCACTGGATATATATCCACCTGGATGTGACCCAGAGGTACCTCAAACTCATGCAAAAATGGAACATACTTTTCTCCCTAGAGCTGCTCTTCCTCCTGTATCCTGTCTCAATTCCTGGTACCACCAAACCTGGGAGTTCTCCTTGATACTTCTTTCTCCTCTGTCATCCCATATATTCCATCAATCACTAAAGACTATAATTATCGATTCTACCCTCCCTCCAGGACTACTAACACTGCCAAGTTCCGGCCGTCACAGCTCACCTGCACCACTGCAACAGCTGTACCGTCACTTGCTCCCAGCTTCCTCCTCTTCAGATCCATCCTCCGCATGGCACTGGGGAAGGGGGTCTCTTTGAAACAAAAGTCAACAACCTACTGACACCTAATGTCCTGCTGTGTCCTGGTGCCTGGAATGCCATTCTGACCCACTTTTTCTTTCTTCCTCCCTCTTTTACAACTCGGTTTAGGCATCGACTCTTCCAGGAAGCCTTTGCTGGCCATCATTCCATTCCTTTCCATCTCACCTCCTCCCAGTCAATCTGGGAACCCTCCTCTTTGCTCCCCAAATAGAACAGGTTACCTCTACTATTGGATTTACAACACTGTGTTATAATCTTATACTTCCAGGTACGAGTTTTCTCTAGTAGAGTGAGCTCTTTGGGACCGAGGGGCTAATTTGTTTGAAAAATGCATTTTTACATCCTCAGAGAACATAGTAGAAATTGAATGAATGAACAAAGGGTTCCAGCAATCTGCTACTCCCAGTCTCGCCCAGAAACTGTATAGGGCTTTGAGTTAAACTAGATCCCATGCTTTGGCAATTTCTGGTTCCTAGTAATGCTGACAGAAGAGTGTTTTCATGTATGTATCAAGAAATAAATTCAAATACGGTGCTTTTACTGGACTTTGCATTTATCCTAAGCTTCATAGTAAAGGTATGTTACCTATTAACTCTAAGGCTACCTTTTTTATTATTGGAAAACAAAATTTTTATCATTAGTACTCAATATGAAGCATTTATTCTCCACTATAATGACAGTTAACCTAACTTAAAACATTATATAAGGGGAAGTAGCAAACAGAAAATGAAACTATACTTGGCTTGGAACATGGTGAATGCTTGAGAACCATACATGAATGGGAGATACATGGGCATTTAGGACCTATTCTTGTGCCAAGCTTATTCTGTCTATACAAAATCATACATGTTTAATATAAACAAAATTTATAATCTTTTACTCACTTCTTTGAAATCTGGCAATAACCTAAATATCTTGATCATTTTTATTTAAATAAACTATAACTTATTATACTTGAAAGCATATGTTAATATATTACAGAAAATGATTTGGTATATTACATATAAAAGTATATGCAATTTGGCTTGATTTGCCATTAAGCCCTAAAGAATTTTTCAAGCTGGCATTCTGAGTTCTAACTTTTCCTTTCCCAAGACAGCAAATTTTTTGCCTTTTTAATCTTATTTTTTACTCTTTTATTGTTAATTTTTAAATTAAATTTATTAGGGTAACATTGATTAACAAAATTATGGTAGCAATTTTTGAAGAAACATGAACCAAAATCTGAATTGGTTCATGAGCCATAATGTTAAGGAAATGTTTTTAAAATCAGAAATTTTATCAGAATCAAAATTACTTAGAGATGAGCAAAACAATTAAAATAATCTCCAAGCCAAATGCACGCCAAACCTGAACTTAATTCTGAGCAGGTTTGGGGTACATATTTTCAGCAATGCCCTACAGTTTGCAGCAAGAGTTAGTAAGTACAGCTACACCCCCCACTAATCCATGAAGTGTCCAAGAGGAGAAACAACTATGGAATTCCGACCAGATCCCCACATCTCCCTGCAGAACAGCTTCCCTACACCCTCCTACACTCCTCAGGTTCTAACTTCAGATATAACTCCTTTCATGGAGAAACCGATATGGTAAAGGTTTTCAAGATAGAAGAAAAGATAGCAGGTGGCAGTAAAATGATACTTAGGTGGGAGCCCTGGGTGCAAGCCCACCCCGCTCTCAGTTTCCTTACCTGTAAAACGGAGGCCTCTGCCTGCCTGATGCTGTGACTGTCGGAAGTGGCAGTGTGAGAGCCGCACTGGTGCTGTCTTTGGTGCTTGCCCTGGTGGAGGAAGGATAATTAACACGCAAGTGGTCAATATTTTGAAGGCTGTGTAACTTATCCAGGACCAAGTCTTTTGCATCAGATACAAACAGAATTGGTCTGAAAACAAATGAAACATCGGTTAGCTAGAATGATCATTTAATTACACTTAAGGAAACTTGCATGAAGTAACTGTTTTTCTGATGTAGGTACTCGAATTATGTAAACATGAGAGAATCTTTAAAGAAATGTTGCTAAATCCCTGCAGGTAAGTATCAGTGTTAATTTTGGTGCCTCATTTACCACATTCATTCAGACTTGAGTGGTTGGATGTACTTGATGTTTTGTTCCAGAAGCAATTTTGCGTGTTGTACCTGTAGAAAGTAAAAATATCTGGCACTTGATTGGAAATAGCGTTTCCTTGGAAATCCGGAAAAAATGAGCCTAGCATATTGTCTCACGGCAACAGGATAAGTTGCTCCCTGAGAAGTTTGATTCTTATTGTACACAGTGAAAACACAGTTAATGCTTATTTTATGACAGATCCCTTATACCTTCCTCATGACTTTAGATTGGGAGAGAGGGAGAAAATGGTTAAAGAGAAACAAAAAAGTTAATAACACCTAAAAGAGAAGTTTGGGGAAAGTCTAACTTTATTATATACTTTATGTCACCAACAAGCAGGTATTGTACTGTATTACTTACAAACTTTTATTATGCTTTAGCATATTAACTATTCCACAGTCTTTTATAGATATCTCTAAATGATTTTTGAAGTGACTTTCTAATTAAGAACTTTAAGTGTACAAATTAAGAATGTAAACTTTTATTGGGTATTGGCCATGACTACCTCTGAACTCAGTAAATCTAAAATGTATCTTATTCTCAATAAATTAATATTCATGTAAACCATGGATGCTGTTTCTTTCCATTACATTACTTTGAAAACAAATACTTACACAAGTGTAACAAAGTCCACATACTAGAGAACTGATTACCACTGAATAAAGACTGGTAAAGACCAGATTTAATGACCCTTTATGAAGCAATACTATAACTCTTCAAAGCCCAGGTAGTTCTTTCATAACTTTATGATATACTAGAAGCCTAGTGCATGAAATTCGTGCACAGGTAGGGTCCCTAGGACTGGTCGGCGATCAAGGCCGATCTGTGGGGCAACCAGTTGGGTGATTGGGGGGGGCCCCCTACTGGCACCTGCCTTGGCCAGCCTGGCACCACCCGCTCACCGGCCCCGCCCACTGCCGCCACTGCTCACCTCCCTCTGTGGTGCAAACGGGATGGGGTGGGGGGAACCTGCTGGCACTCGCCTTGGCTGGTGTGGGGCCTGCGGGCTGGGGGCAGCTCCTGCATTGAGCATCTGCCCCCTGGTGGTCAGTGTACATCATAGTGACCAGTTGTGCTGCCATTCGGTTGATTTGCATATTAGGCTTTTATTATATAGGACTAGAGGCCCGGTGCACAAAAATTTGTGCACTCGGGGGGGGGGGGGCCCTCAGCCCGGCCTGTGCCCTCTCGCAGTCTGGGACCCCTCAGGAGATAACGACCTGCTGGCTTAGGCCTGCTCCCAGGTGGCAGAGGGCAGGCCCAATCCCTAGGTGCAGCCCCTGGTCGGGCTCAGAGCAGGGTCGATTGGGGAGTTGGGGCGCTGCCCCCTGTCATACACAGAGCAGGGCGATTGGGAGGTTGTGATCCCACCCTCAGTCACGCTCAAGGTAGGGCCGATTGGGGGGTTGGGGCACCATCCCCTGTCACACTCAAGGCAGGGTCGATGGGGAGGTTGCGGCACCACCCCCTGTCATGCACAGAGCAGGGCCAATCGGGGTTGGGGCATTTCCCCCTGTCACTCACAGAGCAGGGCCCATCAGGGGGGTTGGGGCTCTGTACCCTGTCATGCACAGAGCAGGGCCGATCCGGGGGTTGGGGTGCCACCACTCTCACACTCAGGGCAGGGCCGATAGGGAGGTTATGGCTCTACCCCGTCACACACAGACCAGGGCCCGTGGTGGGGGAGGGGATTGGGGCGCCGCACCCTGTCACACACAGACCCGCAGGGCGATCAGGGGGTTTGGGCGCTGCCCCCTGTCACGCTGATCCCGGTGCCGGGAGGCCTCGCGGCTCCGCTGATCCCGGTGCTGGGAGGCATATTACCCTTTTACTATATAGGGTAGAGGCCTGGTGCATGGGTGGGTGCTGGCTGGTTTGCCCTGAAGGGTGTCCTGGATCAGGGTGGGGGTCCCCACTGGGGTGCCTGGCCAGCCTGGGTGAGGGGATGATGGCTGTTTGCAGCTGGTCACACATCCTTCAGGGTGGGGGTCCCCACTGGGGTGCCTGGCCAGCCTGGGTGAGGGGATGATGGGTGTTTGCAGCTGGTCACACACCCTTCAGGGTGGGGGTCCCCACTGGGGTGCCTGGCCAGTCTGGGTGAGGAGCTGAGGGCTGTTTTCAGGCTGGGGGTGACTGAAGCTCCCAACCGCTCCTTTTTTTTTTTTTTTATTCTGGGCCAGCTTTAGCTTTGAGGCTTGGCTGCAGCTCTTAGGCCTCTGCTGCTGAAAGTAGGTTTCTGGCCTTTGCTTACAATGTTGCAATCCTGCTAGCTGAAGCCCAGCAGGTTTCTGGGGTTTTGTTTAGCTTCTATGTTTGTTACATAGTTGCTTGCAGCTCAGAGGCCTGAAGTGGCAGGCGGGGAACGTTGGAGTCCTCTGCCACTGAAGCAAGCAAGCCTCATGTTAGTTTCAAGCTGCCTGGCTGCCGGCCGCCATCTTGGCTGACAGTTAATTTGCATATTGCCCTGATTAGCCAATGGGAAGGGTAGCGGATGTACGGCTAATTATCATGTTTCTCTTTTATTAGATAGGATACTCATCCTAATGTTATATTCCAAATTAATTTGTACCATAGGGTAGGTAATGAAAAGTGTGCCTTCTGGTAAAAACAAAACAAAAAAACTGCAAAATTCACATGAATGTAGTTAAAAGGTCTGAGAAATCATACAACAAAGAAACAGGATTTCCCAAACACACGTAGCCACGGAACCATTCATACATAAATTAGCCCAGTACCATCACTTTGAACTTACTTTCCTAGATTTCCAAACACACTTCGGGAAATGCTGATATAGAAAGAAGTCTTTACTCCTAATTGCTAAATAAATAAATAAATGTCCTAAATAATAAAGTACTTTTGAAACACAGAGAATACTTATAACTTGCCTCCTACAGGAATTGGAAAATAGCCCTTACCCTATGTCCATGCAACCAGATACAAATTTCTAGTCACAGAGAAATTGGGCTTGAGTATGTCTGCCCTCAGAAACATGCTAAAAAAAGTTAAGTTTAAATGAGAAAAGGCCAGTAGGAAACAGGTAATTTACAGGTACCAATTTTTAAAAGTGATAACTCTTTCAACTTAGAAAATAAATTGGGAACAGTTTTCTTATTTCCAAAAGAGAATTCATTTGCAGAAATTTTCTGGTATATTTTAGATAGACTTTGATGTTTAAATTTGCAACTCAGGCATCCATTACTTCCTATCCCGACTCCACCCCCAAAAACAAGGCACAATCTTTTTCAAAATGTTTCACGACCATGTTTTTATTTATTTTTAATGTATTGTTGAAAGTATTACAGATGTCCTCCTATTTCTCCTCCACTCCACCCCCACCCCCAGGCTTTCACCACACTGTTGTCTGTGTCCATGGGCTATGCATATAAGCATATAAATTCTTTGGTTAATCTCTCCCTCACCCACCCCCACCTTCCCTCCGACTCATCAATCTGTTCCATGCTTTTATGTCTCTGGATCTACTTTGTTCATCACTTTATTTTGTTCATTAGATTCTACATATGAGTGAGATCATGTGATACTTGTCTTTCTCTTGGCTTAGTCCACTTAGCATAATCATCTCCAGGTCCCTTTACAGTCCAGTGGTTCTCAACCTGTGGGTCGCGACCCCTTTGGCGGTCGAACGACCCTTTCACAGGGGTCACCTAAGTATAAACAAGTGATTAGTCCATTTTTTAAAAACTTCTATTTACTAGTTTTATAATGAAAAGCAACTGATTTAAAGAATGGAACCCCAAATTTTAGAAGCACCAGTTTACACAATCACTACACTTTCTTACATATTCACTAAAGATTTCCAGACTTTATACTAGTGATTAAGTTAAATCAAAGTTAGTAAATTTTCTAATTGATCAAAGATCTCTCAATGCCAAAGCATAGTATTTTTACGTATAGTGAGTGTCTCATGAAACTCTGAAGGATAAACAGTGAAGGATTTCAGGACTGAAATGTGAAGGTTGCTTTACCTGGGAACAGAATTCTCATCATTTCTTTTCTTTCTAGCTCAGCAATCTCTCTCCTGGAGTAGACTGCCACAGTCAGGTCTACTCTGAATGCCTTCAGAGAACCCAGTGTGGTGCTTCCACCTTGTGGTTTAAAACATGCGTAACTACGGACCTAAATAGATACTTTTCGAAAGAAGACAGAAGGCCAAGAGACATATGAAAACATGTTCAAAGTCACTAATCATCCGAGAGATGCAAATCAAAACAACAATGTGGTACCATCTCACACCTGTCAGACTGGCTATCATCAACAAATCAACAAACGACAAGTGCTGGAGAGGATGTGGAGAAAAAGGAACCCTTGTGCACTGCTGGTGGGAATGCAGACTGGTGCAGCCACTGTGGAGAACAGTATGGAGCTTCCTCAAAAAACTGAAAATGGAACTCCCATTTGACCCAGTGACCCCACTTCTAGGAATATATCCCAAGAAACTAGAAACACCAATCAGAAAGGATATATGCACCCATATGTTCATAGCAGCACAATTCACCATAGCTAAGATCTGGAAACAGCCTAAGTGCCATCAGCAAATGAATGGATTAGAAAACTGTGGTACATCTACACGATGGAATACTATGCTGCTGTAAAAAAGAAGGAACTCTTACCATTTGCAACAGCATGGATGGAACTGGAGAGCATTATGCTAAGTGAAATAAGCCAGTCAATGAAGGAAAAATACCACATGATCTCATTCATTTATGGAATATAATGAACAACATAAACTGATGAACAAAAACAGATCCAGAGACAGAGAAGCATCGATCAGACCATCAAACCTCAGAGAGAAGTTAGGGGAGGGTGGGGGTAAGGGGGAGAGATCAATCAAAGGACTTATATGCAAGCATATAGGCCTAACCAATGGACACAGACAACAGGGGGGTGAGGGCATGAGTGTGGGGGATAGGGGGTAACGTGGGGATAAGGACACATATGTAATAACTTAATCAATAAAAAAATAATAAATAAATAAATAAATAATGCGTAACTAAAGACTTGGTCTTCTCATGCCACTAAAAAATGATTGTGATAGAAGATG